CAGTAGGCTGCACCCATCCTGGCCACACCCACCCGGCCCCCTGAGGGCAACCGCAATGCTGATGCGGCCCTCAATGAAATTGAGTTTGACACCCCTGGTGTAACACATCTCTCTCTCTCTCTCTCTCTCTCACACACACACACACACACACACACTCACACACACACACACACACATACACACACATGTTACAGACGAATAACTGTTATCAACATGACTCAGCAGGACTGAGGAAATAATCAAAGATAACTAAAGGTTCAGCCAGACCATGAGTAAGCTCCTTCAGTGCCCCGGATGCAATTAAAATGATCCTGGAGATTTAGAATATTTAGAGTAAGTAGGTATTCCCTGACCATATTATATCCCAACCAAATTTTATCATTCTTAGGCTTAAAGCCTGAAATTTCCTCATGTTTTTCATAGTTAACCATAGCCTTTCCTCAAAGTAATTTGAACCAAAATAGAAATAAAGTAGCCCTGTCTTCTCTTCGTTGCTTGCAGTGGCACCTGCAGCAAACCACAATGATGTCAAAGTAATATCATATCCATAGGCACATAATCATGTCATCCTCCTATTGTCTGATGCAAGTACATGTCATGGCATATGCATGATGTTGTCATTTATCTGTCATCGCTTCCCCCTCTTGCCTTACTCCAGGCACCCCAAAAACCTTGGGTCTCTTCTTTTTAAATATAAATTATCTGATTTCTTACTTGCTCATCTTTCTGCAACACACAAAGTTATAAATCTAAACAACTTTACAGCACGGATGTGAAAATCAGTGAGAAGACAGCTTTTTAAAGTCATATTTATTCTCTCAGATGTGAAGCAAAAAACCAACATTTCTCTTCTTTTCATCCCATTTGTATCTGTATTTGTGATGTGTTAAAGGGCAAACAAATAGAATGCTGTAGTTCAGCCAGGATTTTAAAAATACTCTCTCAGAATGATATTGTTGGGATGGTAGCAAAGTCAGAGCTTACAACAGTTGCAAAACAGACAGCTTAGGGCAGTGATGGCGAACCTTTTAGAAACCGAGTGCCCAAACTGCAATCCAAAACCCACTTGTTTATTGCAAAGTGCCAGGGCCACATCAGCATTGTGGCCCTGGCACACATGGAGGGCAGGGGTATGTGGCCCACTGGGTGGGTGTGGCCAGGATGGTCACAGCAGATTGGGTGGATGTGGCCAGGTAGGTGTGGCCTCCTTGATGCTGTAACACCTCTACTCGAGCTTGCTAGCCGGCCATTTTGCATGCTTTGTGCTGGGCGGGGCTGCTGCTCCGGGCGGCGGCCTAATGGACCTGCACGAGCTGCTAGTGGTGGCGGTGCATGTGCCCACAGAGAGGGCTCTGAGTGCCGCCTCTGGCACGTGTGCCATAGGTTCACCACCACTGGCTTAGGGCATAGCATAGCATAGCATAGCATAGCATAGCATAGCATAGCATAGCATAGCATAGCATAGCATAGCATAGCATAGCATAGCATAGCATAGCATAGCATAATAGAATAGAATAGAATAGAATAGAATAGAATAGAATAGAATAGAATAGAATAGAATAGAATAGAATAGATGGAAGTCCTTGGAGGTCTTCCAGTCCAACCCCCTGCTCAGGCAGGAAACCCGCTACTATTTCAGACAAATGGTTGTTCAATCTCTTCTTAAAAACTTCCAGGGTTGGAGCATTCACACTGATTAATTGTTCTGTCAGGAAATTTCTCCTTAATTCTAGGTTGCTTCTTTCCTTGATCAGTTTCCATCCATTGCTTCTTGTCCTGCCTTCAGGTGCTTTGGAGAATAGCTTGACTCCTTCTTCTTTGTGGCAGTCCATGAGATACTGGAACACTGCTATCATGTCCCCCCTCGTCCTTCTCTTCATTAAACTAGACATACCCAATTCCAGCAACCTTTCTTTATATGTTTTAGCCTCCAGTCCCCTGATCATCTTTGTTGCTCTTCTCTGTGTTCTTTTCTCAACATCTTTTTTTACATCGTGGTGACCAAAAGTAGGTACAGCAAATGTCATACCAGCCATGTTTTTTGTTGACTTAGGAATGGAGGACCGAAAAGGCCCTGCGGAGCGTAACAGGAATGAAGACTGTTAATGATTGGCCTTTTTTTTCTAGTATTTTATTTCATAAAGATTACTTAGCAATGCAGTAGGGCAGCCAACACCTCCTTCCTGTCTTCTATTTTTCTATAGTTGGAGTAGGGAATCTTTTAATGGCCGAATAGCATGCTTTCTTTTTTTTAATTTTGAGAGTTGCAGTACCTGGTAGTGACATTGTGATACTTCTGGAGAAGGAGGGACCAATTTTATTTCATTCATTTGTTCGTTCGTTCATTTTTGTATTTTGGAGATGGTGAAGGCAAAATATATTTAGCATAGCAAAAGCTAAACGGACTTACTTTAACTTTCTTCCATCTTGTTTTAAAAGATGGAAATGTAAAGCTGTTCAAAATCAATAGTTCATTTATCAGTGACAAGCAGGCTGGGCTCTGGAAGGCACCAAAATAGAGGGCTTGTGTCAGACAACAGAACTGCGGAAAGGAATGGCTTTGGCTCTGATGTGATGGATAGACTTAATGACTCTTCAGTGCTAAACTGAATAGTGCATAATACAGAAGAATCATGAACTCTATCATATCAAGCGGTCTCCAATCCATTCACACTGACAGTGCAGCTATAAATAAAAGTAGCACTGACTGAAGGGAGGAGGAACAGCGCTTATGACCATTCTAGCCTCAGCTATCTACATAGGGGTAGGCAACCTTGGCTCTTTTATGACTCGTGGACTTCAACTCCCAGAATTCCTGAGCCAGCATGGCTCAGGAATTCTGGGAGTTGAAGTCCACGAGTCATAAAAGAGCCAAAGTTGCCTACCCCTGATAAACGAAATACAACTGTTGTTGTTGTTGTTAGTTGTGAAGTCGTGTCCGACCCATCGCGACCCCATGGATAACATTCCTCCAGGCCTTCCTGTCCTCTACCATCTTCTGGAATCCATTTAAGCTCACGCCTACTGCTTCAGTGACTCCATCCAGCCACCTCATTCTCTGTTGTCCCATTCTTCTATTGCCCTCAGTCTTTCCCAGCATTAGGCCCTTCTCCAGTAGTCTTTCCTTCTTATTAGGTGGCCAAAGTATTTGAGTTTCAACTTCAGGATCTGGCCTTCTAAAGAGCAGTCGGGGTTGATCTCCTCTAGGACTGACCAGTTTGATCGCCTTGCAGTCCAGGGGACTCGCAGGAGTCTTCTCCAGCACCATAGTTCAAAGGCCTCAATTCTTTGGTGCTCAGCCTTTCTTATGGTCCAGCTTTCACAGCCATACATTGCAACTGGGAAAACCATGGCCTTGACTATACGCACTTTTGTTGGCAGGGTGACGTCTCTGCTTTTTAGTATGCTGTCTAGATTTGCCATAGCTTTCCTCCCCAGGAGCAGGAAGTAACAACTGTTACCATATGTTAAGTCAGGGAGCATAGCAGGATAGCTAGCTTCCACTCCTTTCCTTGGCGTATGTTTCCACAGCAGCCTACCATGTAGGTTATGCTGCTTTCCACTCTGGATAAAAAGATAGCTCCCAATGCTTGTGTGCAATTCTGCTAAATAGAAACCACAGCCTTAAGTCTCTAATTCGGAATTTCTCAACCTCAGCAACTTTAAGCGTTTTTGGACTTCATGCTGGCTGAGGAATTCTGGGAATTGAAGTCCACACCGCTTAAAGTCGCTGAAGTTGAAAAGCACTTCTCTCACTTATGGAAGCAAATGTGCAGTTTTCACTCACTGAAAACCTTCTACAGAAGTTCCCACTGGATCCCTTTCTGTTGTGTAAGTATGCAGTGGGACAGTAAGGGATGCTGACCATCTGGTTGGCTGGCTCTTGGCCATGGGCGGCTGAGATGCTCCCCAACCTCCCGCCTCAATGCCGCACGAGCTTGAACAGCATCATCATCATCATCATCATCATCATCATCATCATCATCATCATCATCATCATCAAAAAAATAAAGGTTGGAAGGGATCTTGGAGGTCATCTAGTCCAACCCCCTGCTCAGGCAGGAAACCCTATATCATTTCGGACAAATCGCTGTCCAGTCTCTTCTTAAAAACCTCCAGTGTTGGAGCATTCACCGCTTCTGGAGGCAGGTTGTTCCACTGGTTAATTGTTCTAACTGTCAGGAAGTTTCTCCTTAGTTCTAGGTTGCTTCTCTCCTTGATTAATTTCCATCCGTTGCTTCTTGTCCTGCCTTCAGGCGCCTTGGAGAATAGCTTGACTCCCTCTTCTTTGTGGCAGCCCCTGAGATATTGGAACACTGCTATCATGTCCCCCCTCGTCCTTCTCTTCATTAAACTAGACATACCCAATTCCAGCAACCGTTCCTTAAACTGATACACAGCCATGTGGCTACATCGGGGCGAACCTCGAGATTCCGAATTTAAAAGCCACGGAATAACCCAAGAGGCAGACCGATGAATGGGAGAACCTCTCCTCTTTTGCCCGATCCAAGAAATCATTCGTGGATTTATTTATATTTTTTTTTCTCCCGCCCGGGCCTCCGCGCGCTTCCCCCCCCCCCCACCTTTTCCTCATTTGGTTAGCAAGCTCCCCGCTGGAACCAGTTCAGCAGCTTCTGGTGACGCGCGTCCCGTTGCCGGTTACCTGAGCTGGCCACGTGAGCGCCACATCATCGGGGCTTTGGATACTGAAAGTCACCGAAAGAAGGAACCAGGAAAAGAGCCTGGTCCGAGACGGCGGAGAGAGGGACCTCTGCTTCGGGGCTGAGAGCGCGGGGGTGAAGCCACAGCCTGCGGGGCCACCCTCCGTGGGTTGCTTCCCCCCCTCCTTCCTGCTGTTCCGGCGCGCCTCGAGGCTCCGGGCTCCTGCGCTGAGCCTCCCGGGTCACTCAGGGACGCACGGGTCTTCCTCGGGCTCCGGGCCACGCAGCAGCGGTGGCGGGCTGGCGCTCGGAAGGAGTGCGCGGCGCTGGCGGGGGAAGATGCTGCAGTCGCTGGCGGGCAGCTCGTGCGTGCGGCTGGTGGAGAGGCACCGCTCCGCCTGGTACTTCGGCTTGCTAGTGCTGGGCTACCTGCTCTACCTGCTCTTCGGCGCCGTGGTCTTCTCGTCGGTGGAGCTGCCCTACGAAGACCTCCTGCGCCAGGAGCTGCGCAAACTGAAGCAGCGCTTCGTGGAGGAGCACCAGTGCCTCTCGGAGGAGCAGCTGGAGAGCTTCTTGGCGCGCGTCCTGCAGGCCAGCAACTACGGCGTCTCGGTGCTGAGCAACGCTTCGGGCAGCTGGAACTGGGACTTCACCTCGGCGCTTTTCTTCGCCAGCACCGTGCTCTCCACCACAGGTAAGAAAGCGGCGGCGGCGGCGCGGGCCTTAGCCCGGGCCTGGCGTTTGCATTGGGAGCCTGCTTCCTTCCTAGGCCAGCCACGGGCCTGCCAAGGCGCGGGGAAGGGGTCGAGTCCGCTACGGCGGGAGAAAGTGGCGGCTTCTCCCCCCTCCCCCCCCCCCACGCAACCCCTTTCCAACCGAGAAAGAGCTGGCTCCTTTGGGAAAATTTAGAAGGCAGAGGCCGAGGAGCGTTTCTGGTAGGATTGCCTTGCGGCTGTTTGGTTTGCAAAGAAAGCGTCCGCCTTCACACAACGCGCTTAACCCGGTTGCTGAAATAACGCCCGTCTGGAGGCGTTCGACGCATTGAACCATAAAAACAGCACAACGGGGCTGTGTTGACAAAATGTCCCACAAAGAAACCATAACTAGGGTGGATGCTTCTTCGTTAGCCAAGAATTGCAGGTGTGGTGGGGTGCCAATGCGAAATCTTGACTTGACTTGGTTAAGCGAGGTCTGTGATCATAGTCAGGGTCTTTCCCTCTTATAAAGGAGAATATTTGTAGCTCAGGGTTGAAATGAGGGGTCTTTGGTGCTCTCTGAGTTTGGTTGTTTCATTACCCAAACTAGGTAACATGGCTAGCACTGATGATGTTACCTAGTTTGGGTAATGAAATGTCTGCAAGAAAACAACCAAGGACCCCTTTCCCTCTTGTCCCTCCGTCCCCTTCAGGCACTTCCATTTTTGCCTCCAGTCCTCTGCTCCTTCTTGGTTTCTGTACACAGAGCTAACACTTTGAGAACAGGGTACTATAGAACCGAGGACTTGGAGACAAGGTACTCCTATCTTTTGTGAAGTGGTAATCAAACTGCAAAGTTTTCTTTCTTTTTCCCATCATCATGTCATCCCAAGCTCCCATCCCTTTCCCCCAGTTAATAGGGCCAGTACTTCTTCTTTTAGTAATAAAACGCTGGGACAGGTTCCTGCTTGAAGTATAAGAAAGAAGCCAGCCCAAAAAGAAAGAATCCTAGCTGGGTTCATACATTACATTTCAGTTGGCTTTCGTCTAAGTCAGGGGTAGTCAACCTTGGCTCTTTTATGACTCGTGGACTTCAACTCCCAGAATTCCTGAGCCAGCTGAGCTGGCTCAGGAATTCTGGGAGTTGAAGTCCACGAGTCATAAAAGATCCAAGGTTGACTACCCCTGGTCTAAGTACTATGCCTGTCAAAATGGGCCATCTAGTTTTAAAAACAGTAAATGTATACAGGTGCACAGTTTGAGAACATGCCTTTTCACCAATGCTATTACAATGGGTTTTTGCTTAACTGTGCTTGTAGGATCATAAACAGTCTTAAATATTCCCAGTGAGAACTTATTTCTAAATGAATATGCTTTCACTTTTAGACTGAAGTCACGTAAGGCAATAAATCATGTAAATTGCTCAGCTTTGACTGCTTTAGTTTGTTGTTTGATTCCAAATACATATATACGTGTGTGTGTGTGTGTGTATTAGATACACATTTATGTATTTATTAGATTTATATCCCACTTTTCATACAGGAGTTCAAGCAGGGGAACACAGCCTTCCTACTTTTTTCCACATCAACATTCTTGTGAAGTAGGGTAGGCTGGGAAAAAGTGGCTGAAAATATACTAAAACCTGGGTGTCTTATGTATTATGTGTCAACCAAGTTTGTGACTTCTGGCCACAATAGTTTTTCTCAAGCCAGGCCATTCTGCCTTGTTTAACAGTCTGAGATTAAAACAAGTCATGGCTTAATGTATATGATATCTTTGTTGCATTCATGAAAATCTTGCATGGTCAGCATTGTAAATTATTACTCTATACATGTCCTGCAATAGTTATTTTTAAAAAAACGAAATGCTGATTAGTGAGAATGTCATTTTGTTGCTTTGATAATGAATCATACCTGTAATAGCATGTCTGGTAAACGTGACCTTATGGAATGCAGCCATCCATCATTAATATTGTTATCATCGACCAATTCAATAGCCATCAGATTTATCACTCATTATGGTTTGCCTAGAGAAATGTGGCAAACATTACATGTAGCAACAGAGAAGCCACTGGGGTATCTCTAGCTAAAAATGCCCTTTTAAACCAGTAGAACTTGAAAATGAAGATGTTGTTCATGTCTTCTCAAATGCAGGAAGTACATCCCACTGCTAAAGAGAAGGTTGAGAGGATGCAACTTTGTTACTGTGTTTCTCTTTCCTTTTTGAATAAGGTGACCTGGTGAGGACAAGATGGTATTGTATTTCCTGATATAATGGAAAACGATTGCTCATCTCATAAGACTTAGGAAGGGAAAGTACACCCATAACTAATTCATCATTTAGCTTGTGTCTCTGCAGCTAATGTATTGTGTACCCAAATGTATGTTGTCCTAAACCATCCAGTTAAGTATCAATCCTTTAATGCATTTTTTCCTTAGTTCTAAATAAAGATCCTTTTATGGATAGGATATATTGCCCTTAAATTGTTTGGAGGTCTTGCTGATTCAGCAGTTAAAATTGCATAAAGCTGGTATGAGGTACTGTCAATGTGATATTCAGTATCATGTGCCATATTCTGATCAGTTTGGATGACATGGATGATAATGAAACTTTTGTATTAACCATTACTATATATATAGGACCCAAACTGCTAATTTTTAATTCTGAAAATTGCCATGGTATTGTGTGTCCTTTTGGAAGGTGATATTTTTGATGGATAGATTTTATGTTTGTATTAGGATTGAGTGTGCTCCAAAAAAGACATAAGATGCAGACTCTGCATAAACAACTATAACTATTAAAGGAGCCACATCTTTTCTTCAAGCATGAAAATAGATATAAACAATGTATATCCTGAAATATCTAATATGCCTTCTTCCCAATCATTTTTGAATTTTAACTATGACAATCATAGCTAATAGTCATTGGTGAGATGGTTGAAGCACCAGGCTAGAAACTGGGAAACCATATGTTCAAGACCTGCCTTGGGCACAAAACCAACTGGATGACCTTGGGTTAGGCACACAGCCCAAGAAACAGGCAATGGGACACTGCTTCCGAAATCTTGTCAAGATAACTACAGGGATTTGGCCAAGTGTTGAGTTAATGTTGAGATAGTCAACACTAACTCAAAGTCCCCCCAAAAGGGCATTGAACCACCTGGATTTGCCATTGCTGTGTGAGGATGACAATGACAGAATAATTTGTTGAACTGTTCAACAAACCCCAAATTGTGAATCAAGAGCATAGGCTTCTTGTAGTCCAAAATGATTTAGATTAATCAAAGAACATTTCCACATCAGTTTTTGATGGTTTCACATCATTGGGATGCTATATAGTCCATCAGCATCAGAGATTTGCGGCTGGATAGAACTATAAATTATTTGTGTAGAAAGCCTCTAAATCTTAAGTGATGTGAGTGAACTTTTCTCATGCATCCCACCCCAGTCTCTGCTTCTGCCCTTCAGAGTGCCTCAACATTAAAAGACACATCACAGGGAAGTCTGCAAGGAATGTTATCTGCCTGTATTGGTACCCGTCTTGTGATGGAATCATCCTGATCTATACAACCCTGTCCATTGCTATTGGAAAGACAACCTTATGCCATTGCAACAGCCCTCTGCCGAAGCAGTTTTTCAGTAGGGGCTTTTCATGGTGGGGCATTTTAATGGGGCACGAAGCAGAATGGATTTCAGCTTTAAGGATAAGAATCACCAAGCTATGATGATTTCCAGGTGGAATTAACATGTAACATGTACAACAGGGTTAGATTCTAACAAACTAAGTAAACAAGGAATTCAGTGGTCTTTCTTGAAGTAAACAAGTGAAGGATGATAGTTTTGTTCCATTTTGCCTACCTATAAGGCTGTTTTGCATATAGTTTTCCGACTGTCATTGATTGGTAGTTTCACAGCTATATGTTCTTTTAAATAATGTCTATTTAATATAACAGCCAGTTTGGTGTAGTGGTTAAGGCAGGGGTAGGCAACCTTGGCTCTTTTATGACTCGTGGACTTCAACTCCAAGAATTCCTGAGCCAGCATGGCTCAGCTTGGAAACCTCTCCCTTTCCCCTCAGCATGGCTGGCTCAGGAATTCTGGGAGTTGAAGTCTATGAGTCATAAAAGAGCCAAGGTTGCCTATCCCTGAGTTAAGGCATCATGCTAGAAGCTGAGAGACAGTGAGTTCTAGTCCCACCTTGGCACAAAATCAGCTGGGTGATCTTGTGCCAATTACTTTCTCTCTGCCCTAGAAAGGAGGCAATGGCAAATCACTTCTGAGAAACCTTGACAAAAAAAAAATGCAGGACTTGTCCAGACAATCTCCTAGAATCAGACACAATTAAACGGGAAAAAAACCCAATAATAAAAATTGTCAAAGTTTAAAATAGTAAAAGAAAAACATGAAATTAAGAATCAACCTAGCAAAATTATTATATGGAATACCTTGATCAGATATTTAAAAAGAGAAATGTTTGTACAAAATAGGAATGTTGGCAATAAATACTGTTTCAAAAGAAGGAGTGAGTGAAGTTGTAATCAGAAGATTAATTCAATGTGCAGAAAAGGGAGTCGTTGAAATATTTTAACAAGCTTTCTTTTCATGAACACGAGAGATGCTTTAAAAAAAAGAAACCACGATACAAAAATATCTCAATTGAGAATAATTGACTTTCAAATTGCACTTAGAAAGCCTTTTGATGTTCTAAAAGGAACAATCTTAAAAAGAAACTCACATTCTCCATTGCATTTCTCCTGATAATAGGAATTATAGTTTATAAATGTGAGGATTAGAAATAATTCTTCAAATCCTGTAATTAAATGTGATGAATAACTACTTTTTTATTACATTGACATATAGTTGTACAGGCCGTAGTTATAAGTAAACTCTAAAAGCAAAGCTTAGTCTGGTAGATCTTTTTATTAAAAATAATAAATATTCAGCAATGGACTAGAGTCTAGACCAGGGGTACGCAACCTTGGCTCTTTTATGACTCGTGG